GAACTTATATTACTCCAATCCCAGCCCCAGCCCCACATTTTAAGGACTTTGCCTGCAATCTTATAAACTATAATTAAAAATGAGATTTCGTACTGGGATGGTATTTAAAAAGTTTAGCAGAATATATGAGATAAATGAAGAAGCATGTTTTTTTCAAAAATACATGCTTGATTTTGATAAATCATTTGTCTGATGAACTAAGGGTGTTTATCCAATGCACAATCATATGTTTGAATAAATCAGCTACTGGCTGCTCCCAGAAAGCCAAATAGAGCTAATACTCTGCATTTTTTTTGGCTTTGAATTTGGGTCCTTTCCTCCACCTATTGAGTTTGAATATACATTGGCCTCTGTATGATTGCATTTGGCTACTGTTTCACTATCCTAAAATCTAACTGGTCGTTACATTGGTTATTCTACTGATTATACAAACTGTTTCTTTGAAGTGTTATCAGATCTCTATGAACCGTGTAAAATGGACAGTTGCTTCATGGAATGCTACTCTAGTCCTTTTCAATGAGCTGTACCTTGGAGGAAAACTGGCAAAGCAGGGGGATGATGGGGGAACCCCAGTAGATATAAAATGCCTGGAATTCGAATTGAATCCTTTATTGTCATTGTACATGTATGTATATACACAGTATACATACAATGAAATTCACAAAACACCCAGAGACCAGACTCAACATGCACACACACGTGCTCATCCCTAAACACCTCTCCACCTGCCAAAATTCCCTGCCTCCTAAAAACACACAAGCTTCCACACAACAGACCAAGAAATACTGTCCACTGATGGCGGTCCTTAAGTTAAGTGCAATTATAGCTCTGGGATAAAAACTATTCAGAAAACATGTGGTCCGAGTTTTAATTGTTCTGTATCTTCTGCCAGAAGGCAACAGTTCACAAAGATTGTAAGCAGGATGGGAAGAGTCTCTGAGAATGTTGTACAACTTCCTCAAACAGCGAGATGCAAAGATGTCGTCCAGGGCTGGAAGCTGGAGCCCAATGATATTCTGGTCAGTTTTAATGATTCTCTGTAGAGCTTTTTTGTCCACTGCTCCCATACCATGCAAGAATGCCATTATGTCAGGACACTCTCAATGGTGCTGCGGTAGTAGGACAGAAGTAGATACTGAGATAGATTTATCTTCCAGAGCATTCTCAGGAAGTACAGCCTCTTCTGTGCCTTCTTCACAAACATGTTCACAAAGATTCATAGTCCATGATAGGTCCTCCGAGATATAAGTGCCCAGAAATTTTAAACTACCAACCTCTCCATTGCCTCACCATTTATGTACAATGGTAAATGTTTGTCTCTCTTCCTCCTGAAGTCAATTATAAGTTCTTAAATTTTTTTTGGTGTTAAGTGTAAGATTATTTTATTTACACCGCGGTGTCAGCCCTTGTACTTCCTTTCTATAAGCAGTTTCATTGTTCTTATTAATGAGCTCCACCACTGTTGTGTCATCTACAAATTTAATAATTGCGTTGGTGTTATACAATGGGGTGCAGTGACATATCAGAAGTGAAGAACCCGGGAATCTGAGGTTCTTTCTCCCAAGCTGCAAGATGGAGCCTTGGGTCAATGGCTTGAGGAATATCTCTCAAAAATGGCATCTGTATTGACTTGGAGCTCCATGCTGTACCCTGCATTGTAGTGTTTGAAGTCCCACCAGGACGACTGAGCTGACAGATGTGAGGTGCTTGAAGGGATGAAGAAGGATCCCAGGTTCTGCTTTCAAATTAGTATGATTAGGAACATTTGCATTGTACGAGGAAAAGGTAGTAAGCCCATGTATTTTATGGCAAAGTTGCACTTTTGCCTTATCCAAGTTATCATCCAGGAGCTCTAAAACTTTTTCAAAGCGAATTGGCTGTATGCTCTCAGGCATCTTGCAATTACCTGGAAGATCAGAACCATGCATGCAACGGGTCTTGCCCATTATTCTTGCTCAGAATAATTGATTGATTATATGCCATCAAGACATTTTTGATTCTTAGCCTGTTTTAGGATACAGATAGACCTTCTCCAGGATGTTCTCTGACCCTTCAGGTTTTCTAACAGTGCACCATTCATTGTCACTGTAGCGGAGAGTACAATTCATGAATGTTTTATCAGATGCCACTTAAAAAAGCATAAGTTTTACAGAGCAACACATCTGGAATTTCTGTGTTACCTTGAGGAACATGGAGAAGAAAATAATCTGCTGTTTTCTAGGAAAAAACCCGATACGCTACTGAACAAATCTGGTATTGCTTTGCAGGAATATACGGCATAATATATGATATGTGGGCCTAAGAGGAGGATAGAGAAGAATATAGGGCAGTGATAGCTAACCCTTTTTGGTACCGAGTGTCCAAAGTGCGCACACACATGCACAAGTGCATGTATATATGTGCAAACCCCTAAAATGCAATGCACATGCATCCCCATGCATGAGCCCCACCCCATGCATGTGTGAGCTCCTCCCACACATGCACCCCACCCCTGTGCCTGTACACACACACCCTGCAAGCATTCCCCATTCATGCATGTGTGTCACCCACATGCGCCCCACTCCCCGTGCATGCACTACAGAGACCCAAAGACCAGCTGTCTGGCAGGAGGCATACGTGCATGCATGGCGGAGCTGAGCTGAGGCGATGGCTCGCGTGCCTGCAGAGAGGGCTCTGCACGCCCCCTTTGGCAGGGGTGCCATAGGTTTGCCATCACGGATATAGGGTGTAGAGAACTTACACTACCCAAGCTTATAGGCAGGGGTGGGATTCTACCAGTTTGCACCTATTCACAAGAACCGGTTGTTAACATTCTAAGCAGTTCGGAGAACCGGTTGTAAGAAGAAATCACTGGCCTAATCCTGTAAGGAAGGCAGGAAGGAAACATTCTGGTGTTGCTTACAGAAACTGCCTCTCCGTTAACCTTTATTACATTCTTGGCAGGACTAGATGTCCTGCCAAGGAACGTCTCTGGAGTTTTTTCCCCTCCTTTGCTGGTACTTTGCTTGTGTGGAGGGACCATTCAAAGTTACAATGGCACTGCAAAAATTGACTTATGACCATTTTTCACACTTCCTACTGTTGCAGCGTTCCCACAGTCATGAGAGGCCAGGCGAGGAGATGCGTGCCTCGATGTGAGTGATATTGAGTTGGCCACACCCAGCCAATCACATGACCACCAAGCCATGTCCACCCAGTCACATGACCACCAAGCCACGCCCACCACCTAAGCCATGCCCACAGAACCGGTTGTTAAAAAAATTGAATCCCACCCCTGCTTATAGGATGTTTATGGACCCTGAGAATCAGTGGGGCTTCTTAGTCCCTCAATACCTCTTAATGACTTTGCATGTAGAGAAGGAGACCGAAATCCTGACCTCAGAGGTTATATTACCTATATGGTCCATAAGCATGAATATATATAT